CCCAAAACCCAAACCCAAACTGTATGATCTGTCCATTTTGTGTCGCCCTCATGGAGGACACAGAATATTTGGGCGCTCCTGTGCTGCGAGTATGGACCTTGCTATATCGAAGGGCCGTCAACAATGATACATAATCAACAATAATATTATTATTTAATTTAGTAGTGTCAGAATCGCTCATGTTGTAATTATTCTAGCACAATTAACTCTTCCATTTTTAGAAGCAACCATAATTAACTAAGTCTAAAGCTATCAAAGATTTGAATATTCCAATAAGCCTAAAACTTATTAAAGATTTTGACTAATAATTCCGATAGACTCCTTTGTGTAAGATTCAATTTTGAATTTTTAAATAACCTAATTGCAAGTTGCCCAAAAAGAATTTACTTTCTGTGTCATCTATTTCTAAGATCATATAAAAATAAGATTTAATTTCGAATAATTATTGATAATTTTAATTTTGAAGGAAATAGATCTTTGAGAAATTAGTGTCCCATTTTATTATTGAAATATATAGGGAAAGAAGATGAAATAGTGGTAATTACAATAATAGAGAGAATATTTTGAGAACTTAAGGAAAAAGTAGAATAAAATGTACAGAAGGGGAAGGGTCAGAAGGTTAAGAGGAAATTTTTGAAGAGAATTGCCAATAAAATTTGCTTTCTCATAGTCAAAAGCATTTACCTCTCAATTCAACTTCACATACCATATATTCAAATAAATAATCATAGTGAACTAAACTCATGGACAAATACCAGTTCATCTTCATTCTTTCAATCCTACATTCTAAAATCCAACCAAGAGACAACCTATCTTTCTAATTTTGTTCTATTTGATTCAGTAGTTCTTATGTTACTCCAATAATACCTGAGTAACATTCCTCTTTTCCTTCACTATCTGATTAGCTTCATACCTAACATCAGTTCTATCCTACCTATTAATTTAACTTTTTTTTCAAATGTATTTACACATTATCCTTCAGAAAGAGCACTTCTTAAAGCCCCACATTTTCATCTTCCAAATTAGCTATCACGCCTCCTTGAAGAGAACTCATCCCTTTGATTATCTCTTTAATAAATTATCTTCGACATCATTTGGGCTTTCTTCAATTTTTTCTCTTCTTCTTCTCCTTCATATTAGTCTAAAATAGCATCCTCAAGTACTTATCCATTAATTTTTTTCTCCACTATTCATCTTATCCAGTGCTTGCACAGGTCCCAAATGCTCCTGAAATGCTGTTCTTCGAGTGATTTTCTTTTTATTTAGCTCTAGAAGTGAGAGTTTCTTTCAGAGTTCCTTAAATGATATTAAACTTTTTAAAATAAATATAAACTATCTACAAGTATTTCCAAATTAACTTTTATTAAGTTGTAAGATGCAAAATAAGGAATGTTTCTAATCTTCCGCTTTATTTCTATTACTTTTTCTAGACTCTTTATTCATAAGCAACTTTATACTTGAAAATAATCACAGAGTTCCTTTTTCTGAAAATTTAGTCTTCTCCAAATCGTTGAAGATCAATTACTGCTTTTTGCAAGTGTAATCATCAACGCCCTTTTTTATTCAGTAAATATATCAATTTATTTCTCTCATTCCCTGACTCAATGACAGCATTATATATTACTTATCACTATTTCTTCAGTTGAAATTTTGTACTTTATTTGGATTAATCATCTTTGGATCTAATTTATTTTTCTATCTTAAATTTAAGATTGTTTATTGCCATCTTTGAAATTATTGTTTAATCATTATAAAGTAGAGATTATGGTTCCTGATTTTGTTAATAAACGTTTATATTTTTATTCTATATCCACAAAAGAATCAAGCTTAAAAAAAAAATTTTTCTTTATAAAAATGCGCTTAGCATTTTTTTGATTTATAGAATAAACTCAATTATAAAGTTATGGAAATTCGTGTTAATTTTATTTTAAAAAATGGGAAATTGTGGGATCGTGAAAAAAAACCATAATTTATAAATATATGAATCAGAAGATTTGTATCCTTGAATAGTGAAACAATTTTGATGAATATGCATTCTCCTTTTATTTAAATCTTCAACTTATACTTCTTCAAATCTAACTTAAAAAACTTTCTTTTCTATAAACAAGTTGTTAATTTTAGTTTTCTGTAAAAAAATAGTAAATTATTTTTTTGATTAACTTCGTATGAATCCAATTAATTAAGAAGTAGCTACAAGTTTTTATCGTTAAAAAATAAAAAAGTACGAATTACTACCCTTAATAAACTTCACATCCCTAATTTCATCCTCTTATCATTCTCTGCCAATCCTCAAAGTCTATTCCTAGGGTCAGCAAGTGAAAGTACTCTAGTTGAAAAATAGAACAAAGATTCCCACCCCTTCAACATGGACGGCATAAGGATCCGCCTCCTGAGTACCAACACGTCAAGAGACTGTCTCGAATTTTTATTTAGTTTCTAGGAAGAAAAAATTTGGACAGGGGTTCTACCATATCCTCTTTTTGATTTGATGTTTGAAACGCATCGTAACCACCTCTTTTAGAACCGCCTATTATAATTTTTTTAAATTCTTGTTTATTATTCTTTGTTACCTTCAAGTTAAAAAGAATAAATATAAACCATGTTTATACAACCCTTCTTAAAATAAAGGATCCAAGATATGGCTGATTTTTGCAATACTTAGAACTCAAGTTGATCCCCGAGCTTATTTACAAATTTGAATTCCATTTTGATTTAGTTTATTATAAATAGATTTTTCATGAAATATTAGGATTATCATGAGAAAAGATTAAAAAACACTAAATTGATAATCAAAGAACCGTAATATCTTTAATTTTTGTTAAAATGGAAAAGAATAAACTAACAACCAAATTTCAAAATACAATTTAATATGTTTGAATAGGAAAATGATGAACAAGTTTATTTGTTTTGGATGGAAAACCAAAACTAATTTGTAATGAGTCATGTTAAAAAAAAATCATTATCCGTGATTAGACTTGAAGAAGGAAATCAAATAAAATATTAATGTGAAGATAACTCTATTAGTTTAAAATATTATTTCAAAATAGTGTTATAAAGATCTACTAGCTGATTTTATTCGGCATTTAAATAATCAAGCATTTGGAAATGGTATCATAATTCTTATGATTTCCTTCTAAATATTTGCCTATTAAAATTTGCCCATAATTCACTGTAAAAGGTTAAGTTATGATACACAGAGAATTAAACAGTCTAAGTTAATAATATTAACTGGATAAATAAAATTTGAATATAAATGGATTATCATCCTTATAAAATATATTAACTGATGAAAATATGATGTAAATAAGAAATTGCTTTGATATTAATTTAATATATTTGACAATGTATTAAAGTAATATTGTATTATTATAATTAGAAATATAAGATACATAAAAATAATTATCATTATTATTTAAATGATTGAGCCAATTTCTATTCATCTTTTAGAAGAATAAATTTGGGGCGATAAGGGTAGTTAATTGCTAAATAATTTAGGATTGGTATTAGCAATTAAATAAATTGCTTAAAGTTTTATATGAATTGAAACAATATCAAAGTGCTATTGAATGTTACAACAAATCTATCTCTATTAATCCTAAATATCGTTCTGCATGGAATTACAAGGGTAAATTAATTGTTAAATAATAATATTAGGTAATGCATTAGCAGAGTTAAATTAATATCATGAAGCAATTGAATGTTACAACGAAGCTATTTCTATTAATCCTAAATATCATTCTGCATGGTATAACAAGGGTAATTAACTGTTGAATATTCATTTAGGAGTGGCATTATATGAATTGAAACAATATCAAACAGCTATTGAATGTTACAACGAAGCCATTTCTATTAATTCTAAATATGTTTCTGCATGGAATGGAAAGGGTAATTAATTGTTAAGTTATAATAATTAGGTATTACATTAGCCAGTTTGAATTAATATCAAGAAGCAATTGAATGTTACAACGAAGCTTTATCTATTAATTCCAAATATAGTTCTGCATGGCATAACAAGGGTAATTAATTTTTGAATATTCATTTAGGAGTGGCATTAGCATATTTGAATTAATATCAAGAAGCAATTGAATGTTACAACGAAGCTATTTCTATTAATCCTAAATATGATTCTGTCTGGTTTAACAAGGGTAGTTAATTATTAAATATTATTATTTAGGATAGGCGTTATTTGATGAGAAATAATATTAAGAGGCTATTAATTGTTACAACGAAGCAATATCTATAAATCCAAGAACTGATGATGCATGGTTTTAAAAGGGTAATAAATTGTTTTATATTTATAAATAGGTTAAGCTTTATACCATTTAAATCAATATCAAGAAGCAGTCGAATGTTACACTGAAGCAATATCTATTAACCCTATATCTGATTAGGTATATGAAAGTAAAGGTAAATTTTTTTTTATTTAGGTTTAATCCTACATAAATTAAAGAAATATATTGATGCACTCTCAAATTTCGAAGAAGCCATTAAAATAAAAACTNAAATATTATTTCAAAATAGTGTTATAAAGATCTACTAGCTGATTTTATTCGGCATTTAAATAATCAAGCATTTGGAAATGGTATCATAATTCTTATGATTTCCTTCTAAATATTTGCCTATTAAAATTTGCCCATAATTCACTGTAAAAGGTTAAGTTATGATACACAGAGAATTAAACAGTCTAAGTTAATAATATTAACTGGATAAATAAAATTTGAATATAAATGGATTATCATCCTTATAAAATATATTAACTGATGAAAATATGATGTAAATAAGAAATTGCTTTGATATTAATTTAATATATTTGACAATGTATTAAAGTAATATTGTATTATTATAATTAGAAATATAAGATACATAAAAATAATTATCATTATTATTTAAATGATTGAGCCAATTTCTATTCATCTTTTAGAAGAATAAATTTGGGGCGATAAGGGTAGTTAATTGCTAAATAATTTAGGATTGGTATTAGCAATTAAATAAATTGCTTAAAGTTTTATATGAATTGAAACAATATCAAAGTGCTATTGAATGTTACAACAAATCTATCTCTATTAATCCTAAATATCGTTCTGCATGGAATTACAAGGGTAAATTAATTGTTAAATAATAATATTAGGTAATGCATTAGCAGAGTTAAATTAATATCATGAAGCAATTGAATGTTACAACGAAGCTATTTCTATTAATCCTAAATATCATTCTGCATGGTATAACAAGGGTAATTAACTGTTGAATATTCATTTAGGAGTGGCATTATATGAATTGAAACAATATCAAACAGCTATTGAATGTTACAACGAAGCCATTTCTATTAATTCTAAATATGTTTCTGCATGGAATGGAAAGGGTAATTAATTGTTAAGTTATAATAATTAGGTATTACATTAGCCAGTTTGAATTAATATCAAGAAGCAATTGAATGTTACAACGAAGCTTTATCTATTAATTCCAAATATAGTTCTGCATGGCATAACAAGGGTAATTAATTTTTGAATATTCATTTAGGAGTGGCATTAGCATATTTGAATTAATATCAAGAAGCAATTGAATGTTACAACGAAGCTATTTCTATTAATCCTAAATATGATTCTGTCTGGTTTAACAAGGGTAGTTAATTATTAAATATTATTATTTAGGATAGGCGTTATTTGATGAGAAATAATATTAAGAGGCTATTAATTGTTACAACGAAGCAATATCTATAAATCCAAGAACTGATGATGCATGGTTTTAAAAGGGTAATAAATTGTTTTATATTTATAAATAGGTTAAGCTTTATACCATTTAAATCAATATCAAGAAGCAGTCGAATGTTACACTGAAGCAATATCTATTAACCCTATATCTGATTAGGTATATGAAAGTAAAGGTAAATTTTTTTTTATTTAGGTTTAATCCTACATAAATTAAAGAAATATATTGATGCACTCTCAAATTTCGAAGAAGCCATTAAAATAAAAACTAACGCTGTAAGATTATTATTTAAAGGCAAATTAATTTGTAATTGATTTTAAGCTGACTCATTATTTGAATTACGGAGAATATAAGAAGCTAAATAATTTTATTTGGCTGCTGAAGAAATGGGGTTGGATTAATATGCTTATATACAAAGTTAACTGTCAAAGTTATGAAGCATAATTATATTAATATATTAAATATTTTATATTTAATTCATGCAATCAAATATATGATTGATGAACTTGCAAATCTGACAATCAAGAAGTGTTGTAGCTATCATGTTAGCCAAATTTATAATTCTTAATCAACAATTAGATAATTTTTTACTTTCCAACTTTGAGAAGTTAGTTTTGAATACAGTTTAGTTGAGTGGTTTTGTTAATTTTATTAATTGCAAATAAAATCTTTAATATGATACAAAAATATTAAAATTGACTCAATATTTGGATATTTTATTCTAAAATGTCATATTTTTGTGATAGACAAATAAATAGAAGGAGAGTCTTGGATTGCTTTACAGTGAGGCAAAGCATGATAAAGCTATGATGTTTATGAATAACTTTATTTGAGAATAATTGTCAAGTCGAGATTTAAGAGATAATTTGACTTGAGCTGAGAATCCTAATAAGAAAATAAATTCATAAGATAAATTTTCCTCAAAGGGTTAAGCAATTGTCGATGATGTTTAATTATGTATTTCAAAGTTTATCTTCACGAAGTTAGACCCATTTCAACTAGCTCAAGCAGGATTGGACTGTCCCAGCAAGATAATCACATTTAATTCCTCCATCAAGAAAACTAGTTTCATCACTGACCATGTTAAGGTTATTCTGCTCTTCTCCATTTCTCTCCAATCTTTTCTTAAGGTCACTAAGCCTTATAAACTGATTCTCTATTCCCTTTGAAACCAAGGAGGAAGAATTTTTATATAAAAATCAACTTTTTTTTATGGTCTACAATTGGCAAAAAAATATCTCATTCTGGATTTTTATTTAACTATGCTATTTTATTCTAAATAGTTTTGAATAAGGTTTAGAGTTCATTTATCCCTTATTCCAGGATTCCTCACCTATACTCATTGATCATCTGAATTAGTTGTGTCCATTTTCATTATTTCTATCACTTCCTTCAAACATCCTTAAAGGCTTTTTACATTCACTTATGCTATATGTGTAGTTTAAAGGAAGGAGTGTTTAATAGAGGGGTTTGAAAGCTTAAAGGCAACAGATGATTTTTTTTATTTATTCGAATTCTATTTCCATATATTTGTCATTTTACTAGCAATACTTTTTTTAGTCCTTCTTCTATTAAAGTGCTCTAAAGTATGAAATAGAAATTGTCAGACCAATAAGCATATCCAGTAATATATATTCTACCTCTTACATTTTAAAATCTTCTCAAAATATCATGATTAATTTTTTTCTCCAATTTGCATAATTCACGAATTAAGAATCGAGTCCTATCTCTTGGGAGGCTGTTAAAAAATTTATTAAGTTTTAATTTGTTAAATAAAATAACATTGCCCATGCCATCATAAAAGTGTATGCTTGTTTAATTAATAGAGAATTACTAAGATGTAGACAATATTGGTGATTGATTGGGAAGACACCATTTTCACATTTGGAATCTAATCTTATATATTCTGATTTGGATGTTAGTTGAACGAAAAATCAGAAAAACGATAATTCTGAAGTAAAAATGAAATCTTAAGTGGTTGGATCAGAGTTAGATCTGAAACTAAAAGGTAAAGTAAGTATAGAATAATATTGGGGGCTTGAATTAAGAGTTAAATGGGTAAAACTAATCCTAATACTAAAAATTAGGTTCTCTTACATCAGAAAGAAAAGGAAATCCATCAAGAATTCAAAGGTGGTAAATTAGAATCTGAATAAGTTTGAATTGATTTTGAAAATATTTTATTCATAAGGTCAAATGAAGTTATTTGCTTTTAAAATAAATTAGCATTGTGGAGATTCTTTTTTCAATTCTTATGTTCAACCTATTCATATTATCAAGCATAAAAATTATCAATCCGCTCATTCAAATTTTTCTCTGTTCATTTAATGAGAATATTATGAAATAATATTTAGTACACTATTTCTACAACCTTAAATAGATTTTAATATATTTTTCTTTAAACATTCTTAAATTAAGTTTGAACTTTTTTAATCACCACTGATTTTAAATTAATTAATATGATCATGAACTTTATAATAGATGATCGAAATGAAGAGGATTCAATCTATTTTGAATGATAAATTTAAGAATCGTTTTAATCCCTTGTGATCTTGAAATTAGAATTAAAATATATCACAAATTTTTCTGTTTATAATTTGTCTTTAAAACTTCTTGACTTTAATCAACCAAAATATTATCAGTTTGGATGGCTTGGATGAAGTAATCTATAACTATATTTAGTTAGGAAATTGTTTTTTGTAAGTGATCAAAATTTCTCCTCAATTGATACTTATAAAAAATATATCAAAATAATTGTTGATAGCTGTCACAATAGATTTCAATTAAGAAGTTATAAAAATTCCTGAAAAAGTAGACAAGAGAAGATCCGTAGTGAACTCCACCCTTGAAGTAGAGCTTGGTTTATTTTTCTCTATTATTTTTTTAATTTCGAATTACGAATGATTTTGCCTCATGTTTCCTTGATTTAACATACCTTGTAATATTACCTTTCATGATAATTACTATTGAAGATTTGGGCACATTGACCTATAGGAATTTCGTTAGGATGGGCCTGGATCGCTATTGTATAAATCAATTTACTATTATATGCTAATAAAGCTATTTCAGTAAGAAAGATATGCAGACTTAATTTTGAGTGATTAGTTACACACAATCCATATATTTCAGTTTTCCATATTCCAACTGTAATTAAAAGAGTCGCATCAAAACACCATTCTTGAGTTTAGGTTAATACATCTAAATCAATACAAAAAAATTTCTATTTCATTAGCAAAATATTGGTTATTTTAATTCAATCTAAAATCCTCCCTTTTTATGCATTTAATTTATTTTTAGCCTATAATTACAAAAGAAATTTAGGGTTTAATTTTAGATTTAGGATCATATTCTACTTTTCTAAATATTCTACTTTTCTAAATGAAGTTTAAGTAGTTATCCAGGAATTATATTTTTAAAAGATTGAATCATTTTGCTGCTCCACCGTTGAACTATACGTTATTAATTTATTATTCAGATCCTGCGACTAAATGTTTATCATCAGAATCGATTGCAATTGTCGAAAGCATTTGTTGAATATTGATATGGAATAGTTATAAGTGAGGGTTGTTTTCAATTAAATTCTGTTTCCAAAGAACTATAATTGTTTCATCTTTTATTATCATAATTTTTAAATTAATTAGGCCAATGATAAATATTACACTATCAATACTTGAAATTCTTAGTTCGACTGTTACTGGTATTATCTTTAAAGTTGTAATTCTTTATTATTACCCTTATTAAGATTATTCAAATCATGATACTTGAAATTAAATGTCCTATATATTATTGTTACTATTCTAATAGTGTTAATTCTGTGAATTAGTATTATGATTAAGATTGTTACACTTGTAGTTTTTGAAATTATTAGTCTTCGCTTGTTGTGGTACTGTAAATATTGTAAAATTTCTTTATCTTTGAGTATCAATCTTTTGATTAAAATCTTAATCCTTGTTGAAATTATTAACCTTCTTTTAGAAGCTCTTAACCAATTAACTTTTTTGTATGAACTTATTCAGGATTCTCTTCATAGCAATTAAGTGTAGTGTATCTCTCCTTCATAATAAACTTCTTCAATCCTATGGAGGAGTTATTGTAAAGCTTGTGATTGTCTACTATTGCAATAAGTTTTTCATCAGATATTCTTATTCATTTTGGGAAGTAGTATAATTCTTAATTTGTATATGTTCTTGTCTTTCAGGTATAAAGGATGCTCTGATAAGATATTCTTGGATGCAATTTGCCCTCTTTAAAATCTGGTGTTCTGACATCTATTTACATTATATGGCCATTATTCCTACTACTATGGTATTCCTCCTCTCTATGTATGTATTACCATACTCTTCATCTCTGAAGGTCATCCACCTCCTTATGCTTGAGCCTTCTTTGAATTCCAAATCCTGCACTCATCTAATTGCCTTCTGAACATGATACTATAAATGTATGTTTAGTAGACATTAGAATTGGAGTGCTCTTTGAGTAAAGAAATACTGTTTTCGCTATTTTCTTTTCCTTAGACTTAGTTACAAAATACTTGTAGTTGTACTTACTTGCCCCTGGTTATGTTTTTATAGAGTTCTGCTTATTAACTTTACTATCTTAATGGTGCCAATCAGGAAAATGGCAGAAAATTTTGTATTTGCTTTAGGTAGCAGCATATGTCCATAAAATAATGGATATGGCAAGTGAATGCTTTTATAAATTTTATGTATGTGCCTTTGCTCCATAACTTAATAATCCAATTATTACAGTTGAGGAACCTAGTGATCTTGTGTGCACAGTTATTTTTAATTAGAAATCTGCATAAGCATCAAAAGAGGTTCAAATTCTGCAAGTTCGTATACATAAAAAGTTCTCCTCATATGTCCCTATAGTGCATAATTGTTTCTCTCCCAGGGAAAGCATCCTTATCAAACACTCGTAAACTTCCTCTTCTCAAAAAAAGGGAGCATTTATTGATATCCCATATTTAAGAGGTAAATTCTCTATTTTAAGAGTATCCATTATTAAATATTAATAAAATTTTGTACATGATAAACATAACCCAAGGCTGTTTAAGTTATACAGCTGATTGAACAGCGCGTGCATGTTTATGAGGAATATGAGAAATAAACTTGAAAAATAGTTTAGAAAGATTTAATCAACAAAAATTCTTTAAATAAATTGAAGGATCACTTCAAGGAGGGATTAGAAGTTGATGAACAATTTTGATAACCAATAGTGCATCATTCTCGAAGTAGTTCCACTTTTTACAAGAATTATTATAAGTACCAGAAAGATGAATCATAAATTCACCCTTTTCTCATAAAATTGTAAGTCTTACGACATTCAACAAATTTTAAACGCATCCGTTTATAAATTCTTTTGATCTATTTCTTATCTGATAATTTATTTAGAGCAATATAGCATAGACAGGTCCTCAGAGAAGAGCAGAGGTTGATTTCAGAATTGTACATGCAGAAAAAATTAATCCTAGCCAGGAGTATAACTAGTCCACTTATCAGAAAATTGAGTAGATGTACAATATAACGGTACATATAATATTGCTATATGAGTTTTTAAACATGAACAAAGAAGCAATAACCACAATAAATAAGATGAGTTTCTGATTTTCATTGAGACTTCTTTTGTGTATGGTGGAGAGTATTTAGGTGTATGACATCGATAAATAAACAGAAACACTATTATTTAAGTCGTTATGTTGACTGAAGTCGAGCATGTAGCCCAACAGCAATATATTGGAAGGTGGGAATTAAATATCATATACTATTTAGAAGCAATAGCTGAGGAAGGTGCACTATAATCAAGGTAATAACTTAGAATGTTAGGATCACGATTTAGCAGATTTGTTGCAAGTTAATTACTTGTTGAAGTAAATAATACAAATAACCCTGTTGTGCAGGCTGAATGATGTGTAGCATATAATTGAGTCAGTAGTGTAAATCTATTTTGTTGTATTATAAAGCATTCAAATAATCCAAATAACATCCAGTTTAACGTTGCTAAGTTGTGCAACTATTAGTAATATAGACACAATCTTTGGAATAAGAAGGATGTGCAAACTATTAAAGTAGAACAATCTGTACACATAGCGCAGGATAATCAATATTGTTCAAAATCTGAAATGTAATTATTAGAAAGACACTGCAATCATGCTCTTCCTATATAGCAACTTTAGTTATAGAGCCTACTGCAAAAAATTCGCTCTATAGTAGCAGCTCTTTATTGATAAAATTTTTTTGCATATACAAGTAGAGATAAACTTAGCATTTGTTGATACCAATTTAGTAAGAAAATTTTTAACTTGAACTAAGGAGCCACTAGGACATTATATAGACCTAATATTCTTGATTATCTCAAGCATTATCCACAGACCAGAGGCAGCGCTGGAGAAGATTTCTTAGAGCCACCTGAGGATCTACCCTTATCATTCTTTTCTCTTTAATATTCCCTTTCTTGGGTTGAGGATAGCTTCTGTTATTACCTTTGATAGGCTGGTGTAACTAAGTCTCTAACTTAGGTTTCACCTTGGATGTATCTCTAAAGGCATCAGTCTATCTTATTCCTTAATGGTGGCCAAGTTTATCCTAGTTTTATTTTTTATGTTTTTTCGAGTATCTTAGAATTTTCCGATTTCCTATTTTTATTCCTGGAACTCAAACCAAGACAACAGATTGTAGGATGACCTGGATATTAAGCACATCATAGAATATACCTCTTATGTATCTGTAGGATATCTTTGACTCCCTTTCATACTCAACATTAGAGAACATTTGGTGCACTAAACTTACACAGGTTGTCCAAAGCTTCGTAAAGGTTCTGAATAGGCCTTAGAAATAGGCCAACCATTGATTGTGTACGCATGAAGGAAACTGCTGAAAGGGCTTAGATTCGCGCTTCATCAATTTTCTCCTGTATTTTATCAGATAAAAATAATACTAATAACATACTAACTCAATAAGCATATGGTATTATGCATTTCTACAAAAGCTTCAAGAAAAGAAAATTAGAAAAAGGCAGACTGCTGAAACAGAAAACTTGAAGCCAATACAAGGCTTTCAAATACTCTAAAGAGAAATTTTATAAAATGATATCGCTTCCCTTAACTTTTTGTATCTATTATTCAGATCATCATATTAGTGATGCTTCCATTCTTCTTTGATGATGGCTTTGAACTCAAGGTATTATCATACTTTTCTTTCTTTTATTTTGGAGATATCTCATTTGAACTATCTTTTAAGTTAAATACTCTCTTGTACTTAATAAATACATATAGAAATAGAATTAAAAACCTCATATTCTTAATTTTAGTTGATCCCGAAGGAGCTATAGTTCATGAAATACTTCTCCATATTGCTTTTATATTATTTGTTTTAAGAACTTTATCATATCTAAAGACTAAAGCCAAAATATAAGTGAAGTTAACAGGAGGGGATTCAAATGATGAAAAAGTAAAATTGGCAAGTCTTTTAAATTTGACAAACCGAAAATACAAATAAGTCTCATTTATTTTTAATTTTTTATCACTATTTACTTTTATTAAAATCTATTATTCTCATGCTCTCTGGTTATTATCGTTAATTATATATATTCTTGCTTCAAATAATATAATAAAGCATTGATAGTTAGGCATTTCTCTTCTTTAGAAATTTTTAGGATATCATCTCCTTTTATTTGTCCAATATACCTTCTTTAACCATCAGAGAACATACTAAAACCAACTAAATTGTCTCCACAAAATTTCAATATATTTTTATATCTTCTTCTATAATCCTTTTTATTATAATGATAATTATATAAGCATATTCATAACATTATTTTGATGTTAAAAAAAATTTACAATGGAGGATAAAAACTAAATTTACTTTTAAAAACCTGATTTAACTCCATTCTACTAATTTCCTATTTAATTTATATCATTTAGTGATTTTACATGATGGACCGTGTTATTGAAACTATGATTAAGTTCAAGTTTCATTTTTTGAAAATTTAAGTTATATATGCTTTAAAGCCTAAATATTGTAAATCTAGAAAATGGATAAAAAAATTTGATTATCAGGTAGGAATATAAGGTTAATTAGAAAGTAATTTCTGTGACTAGGTAGCCTTTCAACCAATAATAGAGTAGCTACCTTCTATTTGTGGGGTCTTTTCCCTCTATAAATGTGTCTGGTCTGAGAATTAGACATAAGATCCCTAATGTAAGATATAAGTAGCTGAGAGTGAAAAAGAATATAGAGATAATATGTTGTTTGTGAGATCATAATGAAATCGATGAAGCAAGAATCGAAATGTGGGATTGTACATAAGTTGTTCAAAGAATAATGTATTTCAAAGTCAATTAAGAAAGTCTTTGATCGTAGGTAAATAGGAAAGTTGTCAAAAAAAAAGGAATAGTTTCTTGAATTCAATTCAAACTGGGTAGTTGCATGTAATGATTTTATATATTATGATGCAATCTTAACATAAGATTGAATTGATTATCCATAGCATCCTTACTTAAGTATTATTTATATTTCATAAGGAATGCAATATGATTATTCTATATAATGATTTAATGAATTTACTGCTAATACTTTTCTTGAGAATATGCAGAACAAAATCATTATTTAAATTGTAATCAAGCATGTTTGAATCTGCTAAATAATTCTAGGAGTTGCATCCATATTTCTGTTTTTAGACTTTATTAAATAAAGATTCCCTTAAGAGCGTAGGTCTACTAATAATTGTTCGACTTATGATAGAATAATTCTACTTATTAAAGTTATTAAAGTATTTTTAATTAAGATATATTTTTTCGAAATTCCTGTATTCATTTTATAACTTGGTCAACAAGAGTCGCTGGTAATATGAAGATAAATATTCAAGCAAACAATGTTTTGTTATAAAGATTAATAAATTTTATATAATAATTGAGTCAAAAAATAATGTAAACATATTCGTAATGTTTGTAATTATAAATCAAAAAAACAGTATTCTAGAATTTTAAATTTTGTTTTTATTTCTCTTTAAGCAATTCTTGACTCCAGTAATTATAGACTAGGCATGTTATAAATATGATTGGTATATATCAATGGCTAAAGTTGATAGAAGAATCAGTGTGAAACCGATTATATTGATCCAACCAACATTTTCAGCCGACTCTTTATCCTGTTTTAATTTCAAAATTTCATATAAAGAAAAGATTGAAACATTCAACATAATCAAAAGTTCAGTTAGTATTATTTTGATATTTTCAAAATTATTCTTAAATGGTTTATAAATGCAACAATAACAAAAGAATACTCCTGAGATAAAGGCTGTAATAAGACATTAAGCCTCAACAAGACCTTACATCACAACTAAATTTACAATGAATAAAGTTTTTTTTATCAACACAATAGTAAAATATTATTTAGATCTTTAATTTTTTTGGTTCTTAATTCCCTCCACTAATACAGATAACTTTTTAGAAACTGCCTTTTTTTAGCTTAAATATAAAAAAATGCTGCAAGGTAGGACTACATTGCAGATCAATGTAATAAGAGCTAAATAGAATATTATTGTGTTTAAACTGGTCTCGAAATTAAAATTTACCAATTATAAAATAGATGCATATGTCAATTCATAAAAGTTAGATGTAAAAATTCTGATTAATCCAGAGTAAATAAAATACTAATAATATTTTCGTGCCACCCTCTAAATGAAAAAGGTAAATTTAGTTACTTTGTAGAAAAAAGCATTCTGATGAACAGATGCCCAATTGTAATATTTGATAAAAGAGAGAAATTTTTAGAATAAATAAGAAAGTATAAAATAAGTAAATCCCAACATTAACATGATTAAAAGAGTTTCAAAGTTTTACAAAAAGTAACAATTAACTTAATAGTATCCAAATTTCCACTTAGCTAAGATGATTGGAGTTTAAAAATTAAAAAATCCTTGTAAATTTTGATCTATTTGAATTTAATCAAAGATTGGGGTAAAAGAGCCAATAGAAAAGACTTCAAAATAACCTTCTAGGTTTTATGGAAATTCAACATTGTGATATTTCATATATGATAATTATTAGAGAAGATCAAGGAGATTCCATAAAATCTCTAAATTTCCAAATAAAAAAGAAATTCCACTAATAACTAAAATGGAATACAATACAATCTTACTCAGCATGGAAGTTCTAGAAATAAGCAACATTTGATCAGCTGACAGTTTCTAAGGGGATCTAAATTCCAATTTTGATTCCTTTGAGAGCAAAGAGTTTCCTTAGCTATTTACTATGTTGTCATTATTAACAGTAACTTTTAAAACAGGATTTCTAACAGTGGTTTTAAAGTTGATTATTATTTTATAGGCAACATCTGCCAATTCAGTAGTTATAGATATCATCGATTTGATTTCAACATCATATTCATTATCGTTGCCATTTATTATTTAAATAAAAATCAACTACAGAAATTGCTCTTCATTTATGCCTTTTTCATTTAAACACACAGGTTCAGAAAATGATAATTTGAACTCTTGATAACTTGTATCTGTTTTTGTTAACTTGCTCAATGTAATTTTAGGTTGAATTGCATACGAGCAAGAACTTATGTTATTTTCTGTTGAGCATATCCAATCTTTTTCAACCATGCAAATTTCATTGCATCCATCAGAACTTTAAAGGTTGCCATCGTCACATTATTCCTATTTTTACACCAAATATCCATCTCCACAAATATTATGACATTGATGCCCATCCTCTACATATCCCTCCTAACATAAAATACATTATCCTTGAAAGCAATCTAAACACATCTCATCACACTAATAAGAACACTAATAACAGCCATCAAATTAAATGTTATTTCCATCATCACATTATTCATTCCCTACTGCAAAACCATCTCCACATTTTGAAGTACAAACACCTTCTAACAAATACCACCCGTCCTTGTTGCATTCTTAACACTACATGCCATTACACATATTGCATCCTTATGGGCATTAAACTTGACATTTATAACAACCATCATATGGGAAGTAGTTTCCATCATCACATTATTCCTCCTATCCTGTAACAATGCCATCACCGCAGAAGTTAATACATTAATCTGGGAAGCATTTACTTATATTGATATCCCAAATACAATCAAAATTCTCTCCATCTGTCTTACAAGCTTCTTAGAATTCATAATCCTTACAACTTTTCTTGTTAGTGCATCCTCCACCTTATTTGACTGTACAATATGGTAAATATGAATTGCATTCTTCGGATGTAATAATGGCAACCTATGCAGTCTCGCAGGTTTTAGTATAGCACTTTTCATCAATCCAAATACATTCATTTAAATTAATATCAAATGTACATCCATCTATTATAGTTACATCTTCGCAGTCCTTTCTTTAACCACATCGAACTCCATTTGTTACACACCTTTTATCTTCAAATATAGATGCACAGGCTGAATCTATTGCATAATTGAAATCATAACATCCTTTTCGACGGCAACCTCCTTTTTGACAAGTTGAAAGGAAAATTATACAGTCAGAATGAGATAAGGCATTTGAAGGTCCATTTGCACATGTCCGTTCTTAACAAATAGTTTTTTCCTCATTCCAGAAACAATCTACTCCGTTTTAGTTAATTTATCCTTCGCTTATGCATTGTTCATAATTGTAATCCATACAAAAGAATTAGCCAGTTTCGCATCCATCCAATTTTTTGTTTACAGAGCACGAATCACCAAAATACTAACGGCAACTATATGCTGTATATATCTTTAATTAGGCTGATGAGCAATCCTTTATCGTACATTTATTTTGACTCTAAATCCATTAACATTCCTTTTTGTTGAAATCAAAATAACATTATTCTTGAATTGAATAGTTATCGCAATTACTCAATTTTTAGCATCCATCCAAGGTATTATTTACTGTGCATTAATCAAACCTTTAGTTGCATTTGCTATGACTTGTATATTCTGCATCTAAATTTAAACATGATAATATTAAGCACTTTTGGTTTGATATTGAATAGTAGCATTAGTGACCATATCTATCCTAATAACATTGTACTTCTTTCGCTAATTCACATGAAATCGGAAGGTCTACACATTGAATAATATCAAGTTTGACAGTGCAGCTTTTGTTAAAGTAGTAAGATTCGCATAGGGTATGGGTGATATATGATGTATCAGCAGTAGTACAATCTTCTACACACTAACCGGTATTGGTATTAAACTGACAATTAGTGAGCCAATTATAGCAATCCGCATTAGAAGATGGTGTAGTAGGTATATTTGAACAGGTTTTTTCTAGGCATGATGTACTATGCCAGAAACAAGGAATTCCGTCTAAATTGCTTTTATTTAAGCATAATGCATTAGTAGAATATAAACTACAAGCACCGATAGTGATGCAGTGTGACCCATTCCAAAAACATTTTGAAGTATAGATATGACATTCTGATTATCCTAATAAAAGCGAGCAATTTAAGAGTTGGCATGAAAGATCATTTAACATACAATTAGAATTCCAATTAAAGCAATCTAGGTTTGTAGCAGGGGTAGGAGTTATTGCTTGGCATGCATTTTAACAAACGCTAACATTCCAATAACAGTCGACACCATTAATTGTGCTAAAACAGGCATCTTCGTAAGTGTATTCTGAACAGAGTGATTTTTTTATAATGCATATTTCACTTGATATAAAATGAATCGTAGTCGAGCTATCTACATCATTACAATTCTAATGTGATTTAGGTGAAACCATACTAATTGAATTGCAATATTTGTTATTGGAGCATTTAGAATTTATTGAACACCAAAAACATTTAGTGATTGCATAGCCATTTGAGGCATAACTACTTTCACACTCAGATTATAGAGTGTAATCTAAGCAAGTAAGAGAAGAACACTTGCCATTTACCCATTGACAATTTTATCCATCAATAAGATTTGATGAAGTACATATTGTGTCTTTTTTTATATGAGTACAATCAAAAAAAGAGCATCCTAAACCTTTTGTGTAATTAAATTTGCAGTAGTTAGCATTTACTAATAGGCATTCACGAGTTGTAACAGCAGTTGTATTAATTTGGCAATCAACATTAGTTACACATTTACCAGCTTACCAATAGCAATTATATTAATAACATTGATAAATTAATTTAATTAATTCACAATTTCCTGTTTAAGTTATACAACCAGTAGCATCAAGAATACAATCATATTTCCAATCAAAACAAATTTAATCTGTAAGAACGGGATAATTTACATACGTTAAATGCTCACATTTTCTATTCTCACAAGCATTAGCCTAAAAATTATATCCACACCTTTAATTTGAAATTGTAGTTGAAGAATTGCATAATTATTATCCTCCTTTTTGTTGGGAGCAATAACTCATAATTTTACAGCAATAACAACTAGTATCATAAATATAATTTGATGAGTAGTCTTAACATTATTTGCCCCTATCTGAAACAGATGTTGAAGATTAAAATGATAAGTATTTTGGTTCAGTAATTAAACTACAATAATCAGAACATCTACTATAATATTTATAATAATAATAATAATATTAACAACTCCTCTATAAATAACATAATTATCCGATTCCTGTTTTTTTGTAGTCACAATTACTATATGATATATATTTATCACTGCATTAACTATCAAGACGACAATAGTCATAATATTAGCACTTATAATTATATTTCATTATGGCACTCTTACATACATTACCCGATAAATCAAAACAACTGGAAATGGAGTAGCATCCTTATCCACTTGATTATAGAACACAGTTGGGATTATATAATTAACAAAGCTCATTTGTTTTACTATCTTGAATAACTTCACAATATTCAGATGGTACATATTAACATCTAAAATTAAAATAATAGCATTTTGAATTGTAATATGTTAAAGTTAATTTACATATTGTAGGATTTGTAACCTATTCACATTAGAGTGGTCTGAACTCACATCCTGGCCCATAAGTCCCATTAGATTAAATCTTTAATTGACATTAGCTAAACTTTCTAAAATTTAAACATTCCGCCTCGGTTTTAGCAGTCATATTATCACTACACAATACATCTTTACAAATTCTATTTCTTGCATCCCATTTGCAGGGTTACTAATATTTTGTGATTACACATTGTTATTCCAATTTATAATCACAGTAAATTGAAAGTTATACACAAGTTCGATTTGTAATATTACTTACTGTACATTTTTATAGAAAATTTTCACAATTTTAATGTGATAGATCTCCATAAATATTCTTGCTACAATCACTATCATCATTCTCTCCCATACATTTTTGGTCGAATTCATCCCAATAACATTGCTGACCAGCCAAATTAGTTTTGCAATTTCTTTGCCTGATGTATTCAGAACAATTATTCTTTTTTAATTCACAGCCTTCTGGATTAAAAGAGGAGATCACAGTGCATTTAGGATTCCATGCTTAGCATTCAATATGAGTATCATACATATTATCATTTGGAGAAGATGTGCAATCCACAGAACTTGGTCTCTTCATGCATCCTCCTAATATTGGATTAAAGATACAATAATCAAGCCAAGTATTGCATTCAATATTATTGATATAATTAATGATAGAAGCATCTGAACATTCCATCAGTTTACATATTGTGCCAGTCCAAAAACATTTGGTTCCATCTTGAAGATTTAATTCACACTATTATTAACTTATCAACTCATTGCAACTATTGGACCAAAGATGGCATCCAAAGCCACTGCTTCCTATTATGCAAGTACCCTCCAAAACTTTAAATGAGTTGCAATCTTTATTTGTTAAATATTCCTTAGGATTTGCATCTGTGCAAATTTAAGGAATACAAATTTTATCTGCTTTATTCCATTTACATTGCATTCCTGAAATTGTAGTCTTGCATTATTCTTCAAGAGCAAATTAACATTCCTCCTTTTTATCAACACATCCAATCAATATTTTTGAATTTTAGAATTATTACACGTTTACAGTGCATTATGGTAACCACTCTTCACATTATGAATTGCTCCCATAATTTGGTGGAGCAGTTTTACATTTTTTTTCTATGCAACCTTAATTAATTGCACAGACAGTTCCTGCAGAATCAATTTTGCAAAAATCAATTTCTTAAATATTTTCACATATATAATCTGTACAACCAAAAGTAGCTACATTAAATGTGCAACTTGAGCTTATATTTGAGCATAATTTATGATTGTTGTAAGTTGGCAATTTCAATTTATTACATTCAAACTATGTGCATACCCCGTTTATCCATAAACATCTTTGTTTAATATAATTAAATTCACAAAATTCTTCTTATAAAATATCTTCACAGAATTCTGGTGTCTCTTAACATCCACCACCAACTTTACCTATACAATTTCCATATTTCTTACAATCTGTTTGACTATAATGAATTGGAGCATGATTACATGCCCTTTTTTCACATTTATTGTTATACCATACACAATCCTATATTTCGATAGAGTAACAATCGATTTAATTAGCATAACCTTCGCATGTTTATGGTCTTTATTTACATCCTCCATTTTCAGAGGTTACACAATCTAGTTTATTGTCATAATCTTAGCATTATTGATAATTTTAAAGGGAATCCGAAGCAGTTTCACAACTTTTGATTTTACATTAATTTTTATGATATTCGCATTTGTTTCCTTAAGCATCTGTAACACAACCATATTTATTCTCAGCATCACTACATTACTTTCTTTAAACACAATGAATTCCATTTGTAGTACATTAACTTATTTAAGATTTACACTCATAATCTTAAGTAAAAGGTAGATTTTCACACATTTTTTCAACACATTTGCTATTTTTTGAATCCCAAAAGCAGTTTTAAGATTTTTGTTTACTCTCAAAGCATTAATAATCATTTTAGTATTAAGTACACTAATCCTTCTATCCCATGCATCCATAGCCCTATTCATTTACGGTACAACCATCTAGAGCTTATTTACACATAATATGGCTCAATAAATACTTTGGCAGTTCTACGCATGAAATTACGTCACGACATTTTTTTTCCTTTTCCTAAACCCAAAAACAGTACTTTCCATCTTAATTTTAATTTGCGCATCCTACCTCTGTTTTGTAATTATTACATTCCAACATCTCAACACACATTGCGCCATCAGAAACACATCTATAAGAAGATTTTTAGCATTCATCTTTGTTGAATACTAGGCAGTTAACAAAATTAACACAATGACCCATATAAAAGCCGCATTACTTCTCTAATCTACAATCTTCCTCTGCAAAATTTTTGCATGTGATCTATTCTAAATTTTCTTATATGTAGGTCTGAGCAGAGCTTAAAACACAAACCCCATTTTCCCAAATGCAAAAACCTGAGTTTTAACACTAAATTTAATCGCGAACATGTCCACAGACGCACTTTTTTGAGATTTCCTGACATTCTATTACAAGAAAAATCCAAATTAGGTTGTATAAATTCAAAATTATCATAAACAACACTATTAAATATTTTTGCTACTTAAATAAAAAAAATTCTATAATATCTTTTTTTCATAAGAAACAAAATTTCTATTAATGTAATATATAAAAAAAACAACTATTGGCTTCAACAAACCTAATAATTTCTTTTTAGTCAATATAGAGAGTATAAGGAAAATTGTTTACCAACCGATTTGTAATATAATTAAGTTTCCTTAAGGTGAAGTTTATAAACTGTTGATATTTCTTTTTCTCATTTAAGTTTGGCACCTTAATTACGATTCCATCCTAAAAGCTTGCTTGTACATATATACCTATCAAATATTATTTATCATTCACTGTTTTTGATCATCAATTCTCATTTTATTCTCAATTTTAATGTATATGGATTTCTAATAAAAAAATTTTAATTATACCAAGATTGCCTTTATTTCTTTACTTTTATCTTGAAACTAAAACTCTAGCCAAATCTTCAAATTGATATCTAATATCGTCCAAATTATTATTCTTAAATCTTCCTTACATATGAACCATTCAATATTCAATTTTCCTTGCTTCTTTATAATAATATCTTATTTAATTAATTTTTACAACCATTTGGAGAACTCTATTAAATGAATTTATTAATGGCAATATTAAATGAGATCTAAAAATGATGTAAAAATAAACAATTGAAGAAACCCTAATAGTGATGACAATATCTAAAATAATTACAACTTGCAAACCTTTACCATGTGTCTAACATAATCTTTTATTGTATAATAATTGAATTTGATCTCAGAATTAATATTTGTCTAATTTTCCCACAGAAATGAATATTAATAATCAAAAATGGTGCTTGTAAACTATATATTTTAAAAAATAAAAATAGAGACAATAAACACTATGAAAAATTAAATTTTTATCTCCCTGATTTGACCAAAATATACACTTATTTGCAACATTAACCTTTAGAATTATTTTCTTATATAGAATTACTTCAATGAATTGCGTTGTTTATTAATATTAAAAATATACATTTCATTCGTTTTAATATCAATGATGAATAATAAATAAATTACTTTACATGAAGCATCTTTTAATTTAATAACTATAGCAAAAATAATATGAATTCATATCCCTACTAAAGGTAGAGATAAGAAATATCATAGAGATAATGATTAACTCTTTTTAAACATATGTTTGCCTACTTGATTTGATATATAATTGTATCTTTTCCACATTTTCTTCTTCATAAAATTATTCTATATATACACATTTTCATAATAATAGATGTAATTACCTCAATGAGAATTTTGAGATGTATTATTATTTTGACAGCATCCTTTATTATTCATTAATTTTTCAAATCTTTAAAATTTTTTTCAAAAATTATATTTTAAATACCCTTTGCTCTTCTTAATCTTATCTGATGAATCCTTAAAGGTTATTTATTTCCTAATCCCCTATTTGATTTATTCAACACTCTCTTTACTCTCCTCTTAATTATGAGAAATTATTGTTAATTGTTTACCAATCTAATTCTTTGGCTATTCTTTCTTTTTCTTTAGTTTCCATATTAACTTATCATACTCGTCGAATTCTTATCCTGAAAAAGAAGAATTTAAATTATCCCTCTAAATGTTAATGCTATATCTTTTCTTGAGAGTACTATTAGCCACTATTTTCATTTGCTTAGTAAACCTCAATATTCGGTTTAGGGTGCTATTTTTAATAGATTGACTCATCTAATTTTTTTAACTATAAACGAAATTCTTTTAATTGAATTGTTTTTTATATAATCCCATACCTTACAATTCAGTAAATGTAATAATTAAAATATATTTTTCTCATCCGTTTTTCTTAAAGCTCTGTTTTCTGCATTTAAGATGCAATGAATTATTTATAAAATCCATATAATTTAATAAGTCTTTTGCTCAATAATCTTCTCATTGGAATACAAACTCATGAACAATTTAACTTAATTTTTATATTGAAAAATTGGGATTTATACAACTTTATTAATCCAATATCAATCTTTGGTACCTGCATAATTTGATGATAAGATGGCCTGAATTATCTTATTTATTAAAATAATTTAATTATTGGCTTATGTATACAATAATATTATTTGCATCATCACCTTCTTCTTCTTATAATTTAAGTTATATTTTTAATTATTCAAAGTTAGAGATATTTAATTCTTTATTTAGTTGGATTATGATTAATAATATTTTATCTTATAATATCACTACTATTTCAAGACTACAAAGTTCATCATTTTTCCTTATCTATTATAATACGCTTTCCACGATATCAAAAAGATACTATTTAGTTTTTTATTTAAAGTATCAATTTTATCGTCTATTATATTTCAGATGATACAAAAAGGATCATTATGATCATAATAATTTACTATAAGACCTTCTGATACAGATATATTTAAAATATTGAGATAACAAATATGAAATAAATCCAAACTGAACAACAGTTCATAAAGAAAATATTTTTATGAATTTTTATTCTATATTTAAAATTGGATGTTAATGATATTTATATACTCATTATATTAGGAAATCAACCACTTCTTCAATAACATAAATGCCATATAAATCAATTAGGTTTACTTTCTCCATTATTTAAAGCCATTGATATCTTAAGTCATAAGGATAAATCAAACTAAATTCAACAAATCCCTAGATTACTCTAATATTACATACAAAATTTACTCTAATTCTTAATATGTCAAAATATAGGCTTTATTGCTTGGAAACTCATGAAAAAAATCATGCACTTTTATTTCATCATTCAATTCAAGTTAATGAACATTGGCATAATTAATCAAGGAAAGTATCCATCACCTAAGAAATGCATAATTGAGAAATTTACTTTAGTTGGAATACATTCTGGTTCAGGTAGCCATTCTTTACCATTATAATAAGATCTTATATCAATTGTAAAAATGGTTGGCTTCGAAAGACCATCATTATTATTGACCCATAAAGCAATTAAATGTTGATGTATCCAGTTAGTAACGTTTATTAATGTGAAAGGTATGTTTATCTTAAAATGAATAATTTAGAATGCATTTTAGATTAGATGTGGTTTAATTAATAAGATTTCTATCTATCCAACTTCAAAGTCTTATCCATAAATAACTAACGTTTCTTCGTCAACCTCCCAATTATACAATTCTTCATTATTAGTTATATTGGATAGTGATATTCAAAAACAGGGTTGAGATCAAATTAAATTTCATCCCTGTAGTTTAGAGAGGAGGATTCTAATAGCAAAGTGGCAGACACTATTTTCGAATAGTGGTTTTCTTAATCTTGGGAAATGAGATATCGAACATTATTACTATTATTTTTACTTTCTTTCTAATACCATCATGAGAAATTCTATTAATATATTAATTACTTACTTTAGGCTAATGCTTTTTTTGCTTACTTATCACTTTTTTATGTAGCAATATTTTAGCGCAAAAACAAATATTTTACAAAGTTAAAGAGTCTTAAGATCAAGCAATTTAACTTTCACATCTTCTGGATCAAGGAAACATAAGGTTCTACTAATAATGATAAATAATACTATGGGTATATTTGATAGAAATATTTTACATCCTGAGTAATTTATCCTTTGCCAACAACTTATTCTGAGATAATATCATATACATTATAACCATCCCCATCAAAATAAATAAAAGCTTAATTTTCATTTAATGGCACTATTTTATCAAAAATCTGTAGTCAGTTTATATTTTAACTCAAAATGATTTCTGATGAAAATACTTAAGCCCATTTAAGCAAAATCCTGTTATTCTATCATGTTATTGAAAAATTAAAAGATTTAAAGTAATTAAAACTAAATATTTTTATTTATATTCAAACTTTGCTTCCACATTCTTCATCTATACTTTTAAAATTACTAATAACATCCTCATCAATTTTATCATATAATTTGNTACAAAATTTACTCTAATTCTTAATATGTCAAAATATAGGCTTTATTGCTTGGAAACTCATGAAAAAAATCATGCACTTTTATTTCATCATTCAATTCAAGTTAATGAACATTGGCATAATTAATCAAGGAAAGTATCCATCACCTAAGAAATGCATAATTGAGAAATTTACTTTAGTTGGAATACATTCTGGTTCAGGTAGCCATTCTTTACCATTATAATAAGATCTTATATCAATTGTAAAAATGGTTGGCTTCGAAAGACCATCATTATTATTGACCCATAAAGCAATTAAATGTTGATGTATCCAGTTAGTAACGTTTATTAATGTGAAAGGTATGTTTATCTTAAAATGAATAATTTAGAATGCATTTTAGATTAGATGTGGTTTAATTAATAAGATTTCTATCTATCCAACTTCAAAGTCTTATCCATAAATAACTAACGTTTCTTCGTCAACCTCCCAATTATACAATTCTTCATTATTAGTTATATTGGATAGTGATATTCAAAAACAGGGTTGAGATCAAATTAAGTTTCATGCGTGTAGTTCAGAGGGAGGATTCTAATAGCAAAGTGACAGACAGTATTATTCGAATAATACTTTTCTAAATCTTGAGTAATTAGATATTGAACATTATTTTATTTTCTATTTATCATCATAATGCAAAATTCTATTAATATATTAATTACTTACTGTAAGCTAATTTTTCTTTTATTTACTTATCACTGTTTTACGAAACAATATTGCTGGCTGCAAAAACAAATTATTCGTTGACTTAATGAGTCTAAAGATCAAGCAATTTTACCTTCATATCTTCTGGGTCAAGGAAACACAAAGTTCTATTATGTTTATAAATAATACTATGGGTATATTTGATAGAAGCATTTTACATCATGAATAATTTATCCTTAGCCAACTACTTATTCTGAGGCCATATCATAAAGGTGATATTCACCTCCATCAAAATAAATAAAGGCTTAATTTTCATTTAATGGAATTATTTTATCAAAATATCTGGCATCATTTTATACTTTAACTTTGACTTTAGCTTGATGAAAATACTTATACCCTTTTTTATTAGTATCCTGTTATTCTATCATTATATTTAAAATTATATTATTAATAAATAATTAAAAGTTTTTAAAGTAATTAACAAATAAAATATTTGTTTATTTTGAAATTCAAAAACTTCCAAATTCTGCATCTATACTTTGAAAATAAATAATAACTTTATTTTCGATTTTTTTATACAATTTGATTACTTCAATTAAGAATATCGCATTCATTCTGTAGAAATGAACTGAGTGAATAAATTTCTTAATGTAAGTAGAGGCGCTGCTTAGTAAATAAACCTAAAGCCACTTCTTATTAATCTATTTGATCAATAACGAATGGATTATCTTATTTCTCACCATTTGCGTCCTTCAATGTAGAACTCTGATTGTTGTTTTCAGTTTTATGACTAAAATTTTTTATTTAATAAGCTACATTGTTTATTTCAAAGTTCTAAAATTCTACAAAAAATTATTAGTATCAGTAAATGTAAATGGTTGTTCTTTACATTTTGTGAATTGATCTTAGATTTTATTTGATTAATAATTTCTTAGGTTTATTTCTACAGTCCAAAGTGAGGGTTAACCAATTCAATAGGATAAGGTCGACCATTCCCTAATATTCCTATATCTATATCTTCCCTGCCTCCAGAATGAAACTTTACACTCGACAGCTTAAATATCTTGTATGCTTCAGTAGTTACTAAATTTTCAATAGAATCTTCATATATTCTATCTTCACCTATTTACCATGAAGTCTACTAACGGTCCCACCTAATTTAAAGGAACTTCCAATTTACTTTGATAAAAATATTCTAACAACTGGTTGTCGCATCTATCTTGACTGGATAATTAATGATAATTATTTTAAATGTAGATAAATGGGTGTTGTTTAAGTTCAATATTTTCTCCAAATTATTTAAAGTAGGCAAGAAAATATTTGATTGCTGATTTCTTTTACAATCAACAATTTTCAGTTCCTGTCTTCAGTTAAGGATAATTCACTTTGATAGTTGTTATAATATAATAATACTTTTATAGTCTTTGAATTATTCAAATTATTTAACTTTACTCCAATATTCTTAGAATTTAGCAAATTTAATAGCAGATTACTAAGAATCAAACTGCAATTTTTTCTAAATTATTTGTGATAATTATTTATAAGGTAGCTTAACTAAAAGCATTAATCATTGTAATTATTCTTCCAATTCTAACCACTCTTCTTAACTTTTCTAAAATGAATAATTCATAATTCATACTTAAATATGATATTATAGATTAGTTTGCATGAAAATGAGGATTTTTAATCTAGAGATAGATGGGAATCACAAACCAAGTCTTCAGATTGCATTTCAATAACAAACTATTTAAATTCTTCCTAAATGTAAATCTTATTATCCTTTACTTAGTTCCCAGTTCTTGGTTTTCTTAGTGACTACTTGTGATTACTCTTCAATCACCATCAACTTTGTAATTATTGGCCTCTTGAATAATTTTAGTAGGTAAAAATTTACTATTAACAAATATTATAAATGACTTATTCCATAATGAAGTTTTGAGAAATATAATTCTATTAAAGTTGTAAACATAATGGTTATAAAGTATAATTTAGAGAACACATCTAAAACATTGTCGCGTTTAGCCTGAGAACTTCATATGTTTAGATAGGATTCCTATAATTTTCCAAAATTCTTGGACTAATTAATGAATTCTTAAATCTATCCAACATCATCCCCATAGAAAACTCCCTTCTAAATTTTACTCCTCTATTTCATCAGTCTAATCTTAATATAGAATCATAACTATATATCCCACCATTTTTCGGTATGGCAATCCTAAAATGATTGATGAGTCAGATAGAGTAGCCTTTTAGATTATGCCAAGTATAATATCATTCATTCTGCTTTATGGATTTTTATTAGTATTTAGGTAAAAATTCATTGAAGCTTAATTCAATAAAATTCATAAATTTTATTACAATAAAAGTAAATATATTATTTCAAGATGAAATCTCACACGTAGAATTTTAGAGATTGTTAATAAATTTTCAGCTATACTATATAAATGTTTAATTATATTACTTTAATTTAGTTGCTATTTATAGGACTCCAAAGTTTTTTGATTAAAATAATTTGATTCATTTCAAAATGTATGATAAAAGTAGGTATAAGGATGTGATTTGTAAATTGAGGAATCAAATTAGCTTTGATAATTAGTGATGTAATAAATTCAATAATACTATGAGGATTAATTAATTATAAAGATGGTATTTCACAAATATTATATAAATTGTAATCTTAAGATTCTCTAGTTATAGTTAAAATACGAATTTGATGTAAAAACATTATATTTCATATAAAAATCAATCCCAATTTTGATCATCGTTTAAGAAGTGGGTTACAATTTTTAAAGTGGCTATTGGTAAATCATTTTGAGCAAAGTGTCCAGCATTAAATAAAGTGGCAAAATAAAAATTTTAATAATGCTTTATTGTACCTGCAGTTTCATTCTAGTCAAACCCTTCGCGTTGGGATTTAAAGATCTGTTTTGGCTGTTTTTTCCATTCATGAATATACTTCCAATTTAATTTGTTTATGATGTAATTCATAGATGGAGTATTGCAGATGATGTCTCTAGACCCTGAATAAATTAACACTTTTTTCCCTAGATTTAATAGTAATTCTAAATTGAATTTCTGTGATTTTGAGATGTCAACTTCAAAATTCTTTATTATTTTCTTATTCCAGTCTATATATATTATTTCATCAGGGGCACCAAATTATTTTTTATATTAATTTATAAATGCTGAATATAGTTCTTCAGTAGGTTCTTCATTCAAATACTTCTAAAAATCATGAGAACTCACCTAACCTGCGAATTTGTTCAAAATAGTGAATATTTCAAAAAATCCCTCATATGTTGACTTAAGATATTCTCCATTAAGAATAAAATTTTACGCCTTTGCCATTTATTCTTAGGTATAACTTAGTTTTTGTTCACTAAAGATTCCCAAGCTATATAGAAACGGCGCATAGCTTGAATATTATATGAAAGCATCTGTCCAGCCATTTCCAAAAGCTATTCCTTTAAAATTTATATCCAAATTCGATTTTACTAATGCTACTCCAATAGCTGGAACATAATGGCCACTATAACTTACACCAAAAATATAAAAATTAGTTTATGAAAATTATTGTCTTTGCTAAAAGAATATTTGAAAAAATTCAACTATGTAAGCAGCAGCTTATTCAGAGTTTTCTACATTTATATTTGGTGAGGAATAGCTCAATCCAACCTCAAAAGGTTAATCAATAAAAATAATATGAGCTACTTTATTCCATGTGTTTTATACTTTCCTTACTGAATAGTCATTTTCTGCTTTTTTATATATATGAAAGGGTCCAACATTTTGAAATATTTGAATTAATGAAGAATAACCAGGTCCACCATGCAGCCATAAAATAAAATTATCAGTCTCTTTAATATCATTTAAGCTCATGGTGCCTTCTTTTAAAAATAAATGATAGAAAAATTGATTGTTATCATTATTGATCGATGAGACTTTTATATAACCTGTTTCGCTATAAAAATCAGTTTCAGGATCTAAATTGCGATAAAAATCTTTAAATATTATATTATCAACTTACTTGTTTAATCAATAAAAGTAAATTCTTGAGTAGAAACTGTAGATATCAATATCAAATACAATCCTATTATTTTTCTCATTTATTGGATAAATAAAATTAATTATTTTTTTAGAAAAACAATAATTTTATATGTTAATATTTTCAATAAATAAAATATCTTTTATGAACTAGGTTATTCTAAAATATCTCTTAGCAAATTTTAAGATAACTAAAACCTTTCATATTTTTATTATTATTCAAAATTAAGAGAGTTTTTTATCCTTTTATATCTCAATTAATATAGTAAATTTTAATAATATATGTTGATATATCAAACTTTTATTCCTACCAAATTAACATTAATACTCTGTCAATTATAATCATCTTCATGATATAATCATTTATTGGATTTTTATAAACGCGTTAGTATTATGCTTCCATAAATATTTATTGAATTTTTAAAAATAATTTTAAATATAAGATACAAGTATAAAATATTGCACATGTTTTAAAACTAAATCTAAATTTGAGAAAATTTGTACCAAAAGTAAATAAAGTAGACAAAATTATACATTGATGAAATTTATATGTCATCAATATATTATTGTTGATGATTTAATGTTTTCATCAATAATGCATACCTAATTACATTATAAAGACAATTACTTTTATAAAATAACAATTGGTAGGTTTAAATGATGAAATCTTGAGAACAAGGCTATTTTCTATTTTAATAAAACTTAATGCCTTCTGTAGTATAATTAGTATAAATAAACAATATGTTTATATATAAATTACTTTCGGTGTATATTAATAAGAAAGTAATTATAACTCAAATAGAATATAGTTCAATATTACCAATTGAACTTGAAAAAAATGATAACTTCATTTTTCTTTACAGTTGTATAACTGACTATAACTGCTATAAGATTTTCTAGAGTTTGAGGATAACATTTAAATTTCTTATAATAAGTTAAATGATTATCTATAGATTTTTATATCAATATGTCAATAAAATCTATTAATCAATATTTCAAATGACTTTCTCCATTTATTAAATACTTATTTTGATACCATTTTAGTAATCAACAAGTATTAGTTTCTGTTTTTAATTTTTACTTAATTCAATCCACTTTAGATTTTTTATTCCTTCTTAATTATATTAACCACCGCCTCTAATAATGTGAAGTTACATTACATTTTCTTTATGAATGAATTATGATGTTTCATCATCTCCCATTTTCCTTTCTTTAAATCATTGTTAAATTCTCCTTCATATAATATTTGCATATTATAATTATAATTTTCATCTAAGTCAATCCATTTTCCAAGTTTTACTCCATTTTCATAATAACCACCTGCACTAATAGACTATTATATAAATATGACATTTTATAAAAGTTATCTTTAGGCCAAAAAGAGTATGTAAGGACATCATGCTCATAAAATTAGATTGTTTTAACATCCCATCTTCCTTATTTAATCCCATGATTATATGACCCAGCATCTAAAACCTAACAATTACTAGGATTCTAGTTTATAATACTAATTATAATTTTCATGCAAAGAAATCCATTTTCCATGCTTCATACCTTAAGTGTCGTACCAGCCTCCACCACTAAATATTAGAGATCAATTACATTTTTTCTAATCCTTTTTTTTTTCTTAACAGAATTTCCCATTTACCTTATTTAATTCCGTGTTGATATTCTCCTATTTATATTACAAAAAATGATCTAATTGAATTATAAGTAATGATACAATCTAAAATTGCATAATTCAATCCATTTACCAATCTTAAAACCATCATTAGCGTATAAACCCTCGCCACTTAATCGATCTTATTTAATAATTACATAATCTCATCTCCTTTTTTTATTTACCAATTTCCTGACTTTTTACCATCGATATATTCTCCAACGAAAGTGATTAATTTTCCTTATAAAGCATCTTCTTTGATATTCATTTTGTCTAACTAAAAATTTTTGGAAAGTTGAATCCACTTTCCAAACTTTTTTCCTTCTTAATTATATGCACCTGTTCCGCTTTTTTTAAAGCAAAATTATACACAAGCTAGCAACCAAAGGATGTATTCCAAGTTCCAACCTTAATTCCATGGATAAACTTCCCACAACCCTTAATCTGATACCACTAACTAGATATTTATTAACAAATGTTACTTTCTTTATTTTCTATTTAATTATAACCAATATCCATTTTCTAATCCATTTTCATCATACAATCCACACCCTCTAGAAATTAACAAATTTAAACATAATTTAAAATGTTTCTCTTTAATTTATCCACATTGAATTCCAAATTCCCTGCTTTTTTCCATTGTAATACTCTCCAAAATCCAAAAATTTCAAGTCACTAAGAAAGATAAAAATTAAACTTGTCAAAATCTTGCCTTAATTCAAACCATTTTCCATGCTTTATTCCATATCTTTAATATTAACCACCCAAACTATATTACAAAACTGAATTGAATACAATTTTAGGAGTTTTTCTGAATAATGTTCTTTAATTTCATAAAACCAATTTCCAATTTTAGCATTATTTCTATACAATCCTTTAATGTAAATTTAGTTATTTCTACGCTTTTAAAAATAAATACCTATCAAAATTTTCATGTAATTCAATCCATATTCCTTCTTTTTAACCTTCCAAATTGTATAATCCTCCCCCTCTTAGAAATTGATTTATATTTACATTATTTGATCATCCTGTTAATACATCCACTTTCCTTGTCTTAAACCTTGATTGTAAGTTCCAACAAAATAGACTTAGCAAAGTCTAATATAAATCATATTAATGTGATTACCCCCAATAGCCTTTGAAAGGTTCTTCCCATCTTCCATCCTTCTTCCCATTCTCATTATAAAAACCTCCGAAAATTTATTTCTCTCCTCTCCAAATCATGTTCCACTTTCCAACTGGCAAATTCTAATGGTTATATTCTCCAACCCACTTAAGACTTTTAATTTATTCTAACTGGGTTAAAATCTTAATGCTTTTATTCTAATCGATTCTACTCTCTCTAAAAATATCTACAAAATTTTGGTACATTCTAAGAATTTCACCATCAAGAATATATTTTAACTATCCTGCTGGAGTCAATTCTATTATATATTTAAACTGTTCTTTTTTCCATTTACGATCAACAGCATTGAAGTAATGATAAATTCCATAAAAGCAATATGTTCCATTCTTCTAAATTCTGTTGTTATTAGTTACTAATACTGTACAGAATCAGGATACCTTTAATGAATTCTTAATTCAAGTCATCATTCTAATTGGACTAAGAGGTTCCCATTATTTTTATATAATTAATTTTTGCCAATTTTCCTAATATCATACCAGTTATTATCAGAAAAATGAATATTCAATAAATGATAAAGGATGAACCTGATTGAATATATAGCTTTATAGTTTTAACCTTACCTAATGTAGGGTAAAGACTAATGCTAAAATTTTATAGAGCAAAGATTATCATCCTGAATTTATACCGCAAATTAGTTAACAGTATTCTTTTATTTCAAATTTCCTAAAAATGTTAAAAATTTCACAAAAAATTGCTTTAATTCTAGAAATGTACTAATTATTTCTTTTATTAAATATTCTTCAGCTGCTTTTTTACCATAATTTTGATAGCTAAATGAGGAAGGATTATTTTTCTATAAAAAAGGTTTATCCTTATTTTAGAAAAGTCAGTTAAATTAAAATTATAAGAAAGGATTTGTAGTCTATTGTAGAATACTAAATATTCCGTTAGTTAGATCATAAATTAAATTTGTTCCAAATTTCTTAATTGTTATTTTCTTTTAAAACAGAATTCTTATAGTCCTAAAAACATAAAATCATAATTAATTCATACTTGTGAAATTTATATTTAGTTTTCTTTTCGATATTATAACACATCCTAATTTATTGTTAATTCATAGCTTGAAAGAATCACAATGATTATTTAGTTTCCTTGAGAAGAAGTTACCCCAACAGTTATAATTTTCAATAATTATATTACAATTATTTAGTTGGATTAAATGATTTCTATAGAATCAATATTTAACCTTTCATAGTTTTAAAATGTCATATAAATTCATAAAGTTATGCTTAAACTAACGAATATCTTAACGACTAGGTGAAGAATCGTGAAATACATTTATGTTATATAGTATTTAATTTTGTAACACATAGCAAATTTTAACTCACGATTTTAATATCATTATATATATTATTTAATAATGCATATTTATAGCACATTTACTAACTAAAGAAATATAATAAATTCATCAATAAAATAGATTCGCCTATTGGTTTTTTTATTATAGTTTTTTAATTTTTTCTTGCTTCCATTATTAAATTATATTGGTTATTTTAGTCTTGATCTAGGAAGCATATTTTATTAATGGAGCGGTTATTCCTATTATTAAAAGACAAATTTGTACAAAGCCTATTTGAATTTAAGCTTATGCACTAACAAGTTTAACAAAATTTGAATCAAAAGATAGAGAAAGCAATGCAAAAATAATAATTGGAATCTCAAAAATTAGAATTACTATCAAATCGATTTTATTATTGATCATATTAGAATAAATGATTAAGGTAATGTAAAAAGTATCAACGAATGCGATACCCACACATTGTAAAATAGGGTTACTTTAAGAACCTATCAATAGTAATAATATTAATAATTTCTTGGCAATAATGATGCCTTCATGACGAAAATTTCTTTTTTTATTTAGCTTAAATTAAGACAACGAATACTAAAAAAATAGAGACATCAAAGATGCTATTGAAATCAAAATAAAACTTGCAAGCACAGTTTATACGATATTTCTAGAATCACTTTCTTTTTCAGAAAATATATAGAGTAAAGTCTTAAAAATTAAATCCCAACAATTCGCTTAGAGAATATAAACAATCCCTTATTATGATAAAATTCTATTTAATCCAAAGCTAAATTGATTCAGAGAATGTATTAAAAATGCAATATTATATGAGACAAGGGTAGATTAATTATTGTAAATAAAGACTCTAATTCGAGCAAACGAAGTTCTGAAAATAAATCTTAAGTAACAATACGATACTATTAGTAAAATTGTTCCTAATAAAATTTGAGTAACAAGACCATATAAATTACTAATTAGATCAGAGTTGACATCATAACTATAAAATTTACCAAAAGCTTACAAGTATTGTGATCCAATTACATCATAACATAATTTTAGCATCCCAAATTTATCCAAAATAGGATTAATTGTAACAACCTCTGAAGATTCAAAATAAATCATTAGGTTTTAAGGAAAGATTATATTGATAAATTTTAAATAGGATTAAAATTAAATTGTATCCAGGATTTCAAAGCATTCAGCAGGATGACCAGAAATCAAAATAATAAAACTTGATATCCCCAGAAATATAAGTATAACTAGATTATAGGAGCTTAGGTTATGGGAAATCTCCTTTTAAGCAGCAGTTAAAACAACAGGATTTTTGAGTCGAATTTTGCAAATATCATTGTCAACTTAAAAATCATTCTGATCAACCAGCACAGTATTTAATTGAACTTGTAGAACAATGTCTTTTGTTTATTATTCTAAAATTTCAATTCGCAATTAATAAATGACCTCATGCACACTATAATTATCAGGTTCATTAATTAATACATCCTTAATAATATAATGAGAAGGATTGATATCAATAAGTTAAGCTTTAAAATTTTGAGTTAAATTTTACGTTGAATCTAATAGTTTAATTTTATTAGTAAATTATAATTAGACATATAAGACATTATATGTTTAATTCAAGAATACTAGTTTAAAATGAGGAGGTATAGTTTAAAGACAGGAACTCTTTCTTAGATCATCTTCAAAACATGTCCAATACATTTCAATATCACAAATATTTGAACATCCATCTAGGGATAAGTGATTCCCATCATCGCATTCTTCTTAATCTGATTTAAAACCATTTCCACAAGTATCTTGACAATTATTGTCATTCATAAGAAAACCTATATTGCAAACTTAACAAAGCCCTTTTTAACAAATACTACAATTTAAAGGACATGAATGCAAGCATAAATCACAGCCGTCAAAAGGATCATCATTACCATCATCACATTCTTCATTAAAAGCAACAATAGAATCTCCACATATCGATATGCATTATTTCTCTAGATAATAATACCCTTAATCACATATATCTAAACAATTTTAATGATCACAAATTTGACAGTTCTCCCTACACGAATATTAGCAATTATGGCATCCATCATATTCGATATCATTACCATCATCGCAAATTTCTAATCCTTCCACAACAAACCCATCTCCACAAGCAGGAATACAATTTTTATCCTTAATCTCAAAATACTAATTACAAATTACACATTCATGATGAGCATTACAAAATACACAATTTTATTCACATTCAAATTTACATTCATAACATCCATCTCCAATTTCTTAATTTTAATCATCACACTATTCATTTGAATTCATAGCTATTATGCCATCTCCACATTAATATTCACATCTGTAATCTACCAGATTCCATCCTTTTAAACATGAAAAGCAAAAAGAATTGTGACAATCCAAGCATTCTAATTGACATAAACTACATTAATAAGAATTGTCAAACTAAAACTCGATGGAATTATAAAGAAATTCCTCTCCATAATAAGTGCCATGGCTACAAATAGGAATGCATTAACCATTGAAGGTTTTTTCAAATAGATTCACACAAATTTGACATTCATTAAAAACAGAAATATTACAATTTTAAGGTTATCTTTACTCACATTAATTATATTAATAAGCAAAAATACCGTAATTCTAAATCTAGCATTTAAGATCTTGAACATCTAATTTAAGGTTGTTGTTTATGATGACATGCTGAAGGTATTAGTTTATCAAGAAATTAGAGATTTGACAATAATGACCTTCTTCGATTTATGTATCAAATTTAATTAAATTATCCTCATATTTGCAAGAAAATTGACATTAGTTACCAATTAATTGGTAATTATAGTTGCAGAACTTGCATTAACCAAATTCACATTAAGCGCAATTTAGTGGACAAGAGAACTTACACTAGTAACATCCATCATTAGGTTACAAGTTTCCATCATCGCACTCTTCTTAGTATAATATCAATTTATCTCCACAGATTGGTAGACATACTTATGAATATGTATCAAAATTCCAGTCTGAAAAACATTCAACACACATATCTCTAATACAATTACTGCACCCTACTACACAATTGTACTATTAAGAAAAAATTCCTTCAAAGGCAAGGATATAATCATTTTTATGGATTACTTTTTCATCTATTATTTTATTCTCCTAATATGTAAAAACTTCAAAGTCTCTAATACCAAATGATGGTGTGTTCGCAGATGTGGTCACAACAATTGGAACCCCGATAGCAATTGTTATGGTTGAGGAACTGCTACTAGATCCGAAAGTTTCAATCCTGCTCATTTTGAGATTAGACCCACACAAATAATTAAAATCTGCTACAGTATTTAAAGTTGGCGTAGAATAATACATTTATGTGTCACCATTAACTTCTATAGTTACAGAATCGGTGATCTCTAAAGATAGAAATAAGAATGAAACTTTTATACTAGTATGAGGATCATCTAAGATTAAACCTATGGTGGCTAATTGTGTTGTTAAGAAATTTCCATAATATTGAAAACCTAGGATATTTAATTATAAAAACCACAATCTAGCACATTATCATAATAAGCATTATCTCTAATCCATCCTTCTCCATTTGTTAATGTAAGAGTTGTAAAATACGTTAAAACTCTATACCATTTCTAACAAATTCCAGTGGAATCACAATAATGACAAAGATTTGGACATTTCAAGACTGACAATTTAAAATTGGAGATTCCCCAATATGCTGATGATTATCTAGAAACTATTATTATTATGGCTGAGTTTCCCATATGGACTATTTATCTACCTACTGCATCGGTCTAACCAAGAGATCCACTTCCACAAATTTCTGTTCCTGAGGAATTTGGATTATTATTGATTGCTTTTTCTCCATCAATAAACACGATGTAATATGAGGAAGTCCAAGGATCCAATCTAAATAAAAAAATTTAAAAAGTACAGACCTCCAGAAATTTAACTCAACCTTAACCTTATAATGAGGAGGAAGGATGAAGGTCTTTGTTATGACTGTTTATGAATTAAAGACGAATCTTCCACCAAATATGTCAGAAGTTACACAATCAGTGATATGGTTTGAATTTTCGGCCAAGTAAGTATTCCAGTCTATGATGTTAGGTTTTAATTACTATCATCTGTATTGAAGGGACTAAAAAAGGATCGGCTGATTTCAGTTTGCGCAAGTACTTTGTAACAGAATTTATTAAGGAAAATGAGATGGATGAAAATTTAAAAAAGGCACAATTCCCAGGATCTCTAAAGCTAACTTTATTGAAGCTTCTAAAACATTTATTTTTTAAGTTTATAAATCGAGTTGTAATGATTAAAAAGATTATCAATTATTTAAAATTAGGCATAAATAATATCTTATCAAAAATTTAATTAAAAATAAATATTCCATTATCAAGTGAAAATGATAATAAATTGAATTCCAAATAAACACTAATTAATAAATAAGTGTAATAAATTATTCAAAGTTAATTAATCATTCAAGTTAAAGAAAATCGTTGTAATTTCTTACCATATTCTCTTCATCAATTGAATAATGTTATTCATCATTTAACTTTCTTCCAAGGTCAAAATTTTATTAAGATTAGAAAAACAAATAAAATTTTTGCTTTGATCTTCTATTTACATCTAATACCTCAATTTCACTATTGCTTAAATTCAACCAGAATTAGTAAATTTTTCGAAATTTGCATTCATGCGACAAAAGGATAACTTTCAAGACCAATTTAATAGATATTTCATTCCCATTTTAAATTATATATGTAAAAAGTGGTATATTTAAGGTTTATTAGGGATGATATTATCTAAAAATTAGATCTAAATTATATGTATGTGAATATAGACACAATTGATACAATAATTATGTTTTTTTAAGAATATATACTGAATAATTGAACTCACCCTTATATATCTAGATTACTTGTTCGCATTTCTTTATGTTATCTAAATTAAGGAGAAAATCTCAACTTTGGTTATTAATAGAATGAATATATAATTTCATATTTATTACACTTTTTATTTACTGTTAACTAAATTTTTGCTTTTAATAAATTCTTTTATTAATATAATAAACAACTCTGCCAAAAACAAACTATTTGTTTATTGTACCTCAAAGTTTTGGTTTTCTGTTAATATCAGGTATTTGGAATCTAATTTCGATTTGAAAAATTATTTTTTAATTTATCAGACATGGGGAATGGATTGCTATTTATTCGTGAGATAAACGCCATCTAAAATTCATGCTTTTGAAGTTCTCTGCCATGAACTAAATCGAAATTTATCTCCTCTTATGCATCTCATCTTTTTGTTCTATTCATTAAATTATGTTAGTAAGGTTTATTTCTAATAGAAGAATACTATGTGGATTTTATAAGAAGTTTGAGGATTTAAAAATAAATTATACTAGTTAATAACTTTAGTGAATGAATGTTTAAGAAATGATTGGAAGGTTAATGAAAGAAAAAATACATTTAAATAATAAAATTAATATCGGATTATGTTTCTAAGGTAAATTCAAATGATGTTAATGTTCATAATACAAACTCAATCAATGTCAAAATTTATTGAGCAATTCTAGGTAATCTTTGTCCATTGAAATGATTCTTCATACAAATTTTCAAATCAAATATTTGATATATGATTCAATTGTGAATCTATTTGTAATGTGTAGGACTTAATGAAATTTATAAGGTGGAAGTCTTATTTAAAAGATGACCGCTAAATATGAGTTATCGAAGATCGGTAAATAATCTCATATTAAGGCATGGGTAATAATCAGGTTGAATATCGAAGTTATATTACCCAATATTTGTATTTAAACTTGGGGTTTCAAACAAACAAGTATTCATATAGATTATCTGACGTCACATTATATATATATATATTTATATATAGTTTTAAGAAATAGTATTTCTGCCATCCTTATTTGCTATATTTTTNAAGTTAAAGAAAATCGTTGTAATTTCTTACCATATTCTCTTCATCAATTGAATAATGTTATTCATCATTTAACTTTCTTCCAAGGTCAAAATTTTATTAAGATTAGAAAAACAAATAAAATTTTTGCTTTGATCTTCTATTTACATCTAATACCTCAATTTCACTATTGCTTAAATTCAACCAGAATTAGTAAATTTTTCGAAATTTGCATTCATGCGACAAAAGGATAACTTTCAAGACCAATTTAATAGATATTTCATTCCCATTTTAAATTATATATGTAAAAAGTGGTATATTTAAGGTTTATTAGGGATGATATTATCTAAAAATTAGATCTAAATTATATGTATGTGAATATAGACACAATTGATACAATAATTATGTTTTTTTAAGAATATATACTGAATAATTGAACTCACCCTTATATATCTAGATTACTTGTTCGCATTTCTTTATGTTATCTAAATTAAGGAGAAAATCTCAACTTTGGTTATTAATAGAATGAATATATAATTTCATATTTATTACACTTTTTATTTACTGTTACCTCAAAGTTTTGGTTTTCTGTTAATATCAGGTATTTGGAATCTAATTTCGATTTGAAAAATTATTTTTTAATTTATCAGACATGGGGAATGGATTGCTATTTATTCGTGAGATAAACGCCATCTAAAATTCATGCTTTTGAAGTTCTCTGCCATGAACTAAATCGAAATTTATCTCCTCTTATGCATCTCATCTTTTTGTTCTATTCATTAAATTATGTTAGTAAGGTTTATTTCTAATAGAAGAATACTATGTGGATTTTATAAGAAGTTTGAGGATTTAAAAATAAATTATACTAGTTAATAACTTTAGTGAATGAATGTTTAAGAAATGATTGGAAGGTTAATGAAAGAAAAAATACATTTAAATAATAAAATTAATATCGGATTATGTTTCTAAGGTAAATTCAAATGATGTTAATGTTCATAATACAAACTCAATCAATGTCAAAATTTATTGAGCAATTCTAGGTAATCTTTGTCCATTGAAATGATTCTTCATACAAATTTTCAAATCAAATATTTGATA